TTTGGAAACTTTAATTCCTATTTTTCTGGATGTAAATCACTTTTTTTGATGATTGTTTCCTCTGGTATCAGATGCTGTGCAGCTGGAAGGATTTTTACTGAAACTTTTTTAGTTTTGGAAATTTGTTATGATGCGTAACCATGGCAACGAGGCCGTTTCTACAACTAGGAACAGCTGATTAACATCTCAAAAGCTCAAATAATATCTCAACTACAGCCCCAAATCTCAAATGAGTTGAAAGGATGTTCTGTGTACGCATTCTCATTTACCTGCCAGCTCTGTACATGGTTATTTTACCATAAAGTTGTTTTTAACAGAATTCAACTTTTTTTTTTACTGCATAGTTGTTTCATTGTACGGTTGTTTTTAACAGCATTGTAACTTTTTTAACTCATGGTTGTTTTACCGTATGGTTGTTTTATACAGCATGGTTGTACCGAACGGATGTTTCTAACAGTGATGTACACTTGTATTTTTTTGTTTGTTTTTTACTGCATGGTTGTTTTACCGTACGGTTGTTTTTAACAGTATAGTCACTTTTTTAACGCATGGTTGTTTTACCGTACAGTAGTTTAAAACCACAAGGTTATTTTACCATATGGTTGTTTTTAACAGTATTGTACAGTTGTTTTTTTACCGCATGGTTGTTTTACCGTACGGTTGTTTTAAACTGCATGGTTGTACTGAACGGATGTTTCTAACAGTGATGTACGCTTGTTTTTTTACTGCATGGTTGTTTAACTGTACGGTTGTTTTTAAATGAATTGTACCAACAACAACAAAAAAAAGCATGTTTTTTTTTTACCGTAAGGTTGTTTTTACCACGTTTTTTTTGCCGTTCTGGGCTTTTTAACGGAATTGTACAGTTGTTTCGTTTAATGCACGTTTGTTTTGCCGTATGGTTGATTTTAACAGTATTGTACAATCGATTTTTAACGCATTATTGTTTTACTGTACGGTTGTTTTTAACCGAAGTATTGTTTTACCGTACCCTTGTTTTATACCGCATGATTGTTTTACCGTACAGTTGTTTTTTACCGAATGATAGATTTACCATACCCTTGTTTCATACCGCATGATTGTTTTACCGTACGGTTGTTTTATACTGCATAGTTATACTGAACGGATATTTCTAACAGTGATGTACACTTGTTTTTTTACTACATGGTTGTTTTGCTGTACGGTTGTTTTAAACTGCATGGTTGTACTGAACGGACGTTTCTAACAGTGATGTACACTTGTTTTTTTTACTGCATGGTTGTTTAACTGTACGGTTGTTTATACAGTATGGTTGTTTCACACTAAGGTTGTTTTTTCTTTATGCATGGTTGTTTTACCGTACGGTTGTTTTTAAATGAATTGTACAAAAAAACATAATGCATGTTTTTTTTTACCGTAC